CTGTGCATGATTTAGTAAATTCCCATCAGTATATAGGGCCTATAACTAAATAAATAAGGGCAAAATTGATAAAATTGGTATTCATGAAATTATTTAACATATTCCTGAATAATGATAAAAATCTAAAGTACATAATGAAATTACAAATCAAAACATATAAAGATTTGAACCAAAAAAAAACTCTCAAACTGCACATTAGTAGGAATTTGAATCCCTCTAGAAAAATACTTATTGTTCATTTCGGTACAATTAATCTACCGTTATAGTAATGACACATTTAATTATAATTTAATATTAATATCAAGATATAATGAAATTATAGTTGTATATTTTTTGAGTTATAATCTAATTCTTAATTATCAACAATTATGATATATTCGTAATTAAAAGGCATTTATTGTCGCGAGTGAAGATATGTAAGTGTAAAAATAAAAATTAAATATTTTTTTTGGTTGAGGATATATTGGGCAATTCTAAACTCCAACAATCGCAATAGAAATTCCTTCACCCAAAGCTCTTGTTTGATTTCCATTATTTTCAAAATTAATTCTTCTTTCTCTTCTTTTCAACCACACATTTTTCAATAAAATAATATTACATGCAAATTCAAAACTTTTTGTTATTTTTTAACCACACATTCTCCATCAATTTATTATTCCAAAATGTAATTTTACAATAAAATTGGGCTCAACTCAAGTTTCCGCCCATCATAAACCCATAATAGCTAATCACGAATCCTCTTCCGCCAAATTTTTCAATTTACTATTTCAAAATACATTTTTTTTTTTGGGAGAGTATTGAGCAATTTCGAACTCCAACAATCACAATAGAAATTTCCTCACCCAAGACTTTCGTTTTCACCCATCGTAAACACGAAATATTTGCAAATTCAAAAAAATTCCACTAACATTTTTTTTTCAAAACTTGAATCCTCTTCAGCCAAATTGATAAAAATTTCATCTACTTTTCCATAAATAAATTAAAATGGTAAACGTCAAGTGACAAGATGAGAATAAAATAGTCAAATATTCAATAACTAATCTAAGACTGAACGAGGAGTGATTTTTTTTATTATTATTATTTTTTTTTGTACTGTGATATTATATATTTAAATTAAAAATTTTACAAACAATTTTTGTTCTTCACATGGAAAAAATTTATCAAAAATCCATCACATCACTTCAAAAAAAATGTATTCTCTCATTTTAATGTGTACCAAATAGGTTCTAATATCTTTTTGGTTGAGGATATAATGGGCAATTCTAAACTCCAACAATCGCAATAGAAATTTCTTCACCCCAAGCTCTTGTTTGGTTTCCATTATTTTCAAAATAAATTCTTATTTCTTTTCTTTTCAACCATATATTTTTTAATAAAATAATATTACATGCAAATTCAAAACTTTTCGTTATTTTTTAACCACACATTTTCCATCAATTTTCTATTCCAAAATGCATTCTTACAGTAGAATTGGGCTCAACTCAAGTTTCCGCCCATCATAAACCCATAATAACTAATCACAAATCCTCTTCCGCCAAATTTTTCAATTTACTATTTCAAAATACATTTTTTTTTGGGAGAGTATTGAGCAATTTCGAACTCCACAATCACAATAGAAATTTCCTCACCCAAGGCTTCTGTTTTCACCCATCATAAACACGAAATATGTACAAATTCAAAAAACTTCCACTAACATTTTTTTTTCAAAACTTGAATCCTCTTCAGCCAAATTGATAAAAGTTTCATCTCTACATGCATAAATAAATTAAAATGGTAAAAGTCAAGTGACAAGATGAGAATAAAAGAGTCAAATATTCAATAACTAATCTAAGACTGAACGAGGAGTGATTTTTTTATTTTTATTATTTTTTTTTGTACTGTGATATTTATATTTAAATTAAAAATTTCAAGTGTACCTTTTTTAAATAGTTTTTGCTTTTCATGGTAATGCTTCAATTTTTTTCCCTTAATTATTGAATTTCAATTTTCCTATTTTTCTTTAAGTAATTAAATTTTCATTTATTTTTTATATAATTGAATGTCAGTTTCACTCTTTATATTAATTCCAAACCAAATGATAAATATCAATTAAATAATAACTGTTTTAAAAATTTAATTTTGAAGTGAAGCTGTGTTTCAATAATTTCATTGATCATTTTCTTCCGTTACACTTCTTCCACTCACCAATGAAAAGAAAGGATCTGTCTCTCTCCACCCACAAAATGTCTAGACAAGTGACCTAACTACTTTTAAATTTCAGGTGATGTTCCCTCCAAAATGTTTTGTCTGCAATAGATTTTTTGACCCCACACAACACTAAAAAAAAATTCAAAGTCTACATTGCCATGTTACTTTATGAAAGTCTTGCCAAATATTCGTTATATAAAATCTAAATTATTCCATGAAATAAATAAAGTAAGAGAGTAGCCAATTTTATAAAGTGGGATTTGGAGTCTGAAGAAGAAAAAATATTGTGGGTGTGTAGACTTTGGTGTCCTGCAATCACTTTTAACCTAAAATCTTTGTTTACAAGTGCCATTTAGTCAAAAGGATATATCTCACGGGAGAAATAATTATAACATTGTACCATGTTTATTTCTTGTTTAAAAGAAAAAAAAAATCTATATTCATATTTTGTTATCAACATATTATCTCATATGAAAATCAGCTTCAGCCTCCGTTTGTTTCTCATTTTTCATCCACAAAAATGAAAAATATAACCGTTATCCATCACATCAAACCATCAATTTTGAATTTCTATCTCTTGTGTAGGGTCCAATAACGGCTATATTTTTCATTTTCATTTTTTAAAAATTTGACATGTTAAAATTTCATAATTAGATAAAGGTGAAATTTAAATTTGGCCTTTATATGTTAAAGCAAACAAAAGTTCTATACTATATTCACATAAATATTTGGTGTTAGTTTTGTTATTGAAATAAAAATCTTGTTTGTAGGTGAACGATGTATTGAAGACAAAATAAAAATAAAAATTCACGAGCGAGAATTTTTTAAAAGACCGGCATTTATTTTCATCTAAAAATTGAGTTACCAGAGGAATTATTTATATTTTGTATTCAACCCGTCAATCACGTACATGCCAAATTTAATTTTCAGTCAAAGCCCTAATACGTAAAATTTTCATAAAAGAGTAATTGTGAAATTCGAACTCAACTTTTATTCTCTGATACCATGTTGAACTACTTCATCTAACTTTTAGATGAGGCATGCTAATAATTAACATCGTATCAGAGCATCAAAAGTTCTAGACTCAAATACAATTACTCATTCATAAAAATATCACGTCTTAGATTTTTTATCAAAAATTAAACCAACATGCACGTGAAGGACGTGTTGAAGACAAAATATAAATAAATTAATTTACCACTTCTCTAGTAACTTAAATTTTTAAATAAAGCAGGTTGGGAATAGCCTGGATGAGGACTTGGGGGGATACAACTTAACTTTCTTCTTCCTAGAAACAAAGAAAGGAAAAAGCAAGAAATTAAAATGTATGTTACATGCAAATCCTTTCATCTTCCTTCAGGGTGCAAAGGGAAGAGTTTCAGGGTCCTATCTTCTTCCTCTTTACAGTATTTCTTGTCCATTTCCAGGCATTCAAATGTCCATGGCCTGCATTTTCTCTTGCCAGGACTATCTTCCCTCCCCATGTCTCCCTACAAAATATATTCATGAATGAATGAAACAATTTGTCTTGAAGAGAATAAGAAAGTTCCTCTAGAAACTTAAGCCTTCAAAGAACGAACAAACTTAGTATCAACATGCCCCCAAATCTTTGAAAGCACGACACAAGGACAAATTCTCTAAGAGCTCGAACTTTTAGACGAGATAATTCAAAATTTTGAGACGAGAGATATAGGTACATACCGCTGTTATCGGGATGGAAGAAGTGTCGATTATAGAAGGTGGTTTTCTTGAACAATGGATAAGTCCTAGACTACTCCGCTTCTGCTTCTGTCGCTCGCGTGCTTTGTGGTTTTGAAACCAGTAAAACACATTCTTCCCCTCTATTTTTCCATACTTAGCCAGCTGCTCAGTGATTTTTTCAATCTGTTGTGCATTCGGCGTACGCATTCCCCCTCTATACAGCATCTCCAGTAGCCCTATCTGTTCTTGAGTTGGATTCCATCTTGTCCCACCAGGGTTTGTCTCCACCTGCAAAATATTGGAATTATTCATCATCACACATCTATCTTCCTTAATCTTGTTCAGTAATGTTCAGTCCAGTATGCCTATCGTTGTTATATCTTAACTAAAAGAGTCGAGGTATATATATAGAGCATTGCCTGAGCTGATACTCTCTTGTGATCATCCGAGGATTCTATCTTTCTACGGCCAGTTTCTGGTCTAATGAAACTCTTGAGATCGAATGGTTGGGTAATGCTGACACCGAGTATTTTGTTTTGATTCGTCGTGTCGTCACATATGTCTCGAGTGATGGGCAGTTTGGGAGCAAGAGGGCGCAAACGCTTGCACCCAAGCGTGAGGAATGGTTGTTCCTGCACCTCCCAGAATCCACGTGCAAAGTGATGCACCTTCATTGCTAATTAATTAAGTTCCCAATGAACAAAAATTGATGACAAAGAGTGCTACTTATATGACAATATCAAAAGCTGGATCGAACCGGACAAAATAAAAGGAGAAAAAAGACAGTGGAAAATTATGATGAGATTGTGCCTAAAAGAACCAAGACCAAATGATGAGATGAGGTTGACTTTAGATTTTCCATATTAAAAAGAGAGATGAAAAGTTGAATCTAAAGGGAAAAATGGTGTGTGTGTATATATGTACAATAATGCTACAAAAGTATACGGAAATTTCACAGATTTTTTTCTGCCAGATGCTAGACGCCAAGTGTCAGCTCTACGTTGTTCTGTTTTAATCTATTTTTTTTTCATCATCCAGTCCAAAAATGACGCCTCTCTCGTTGTGAAAGTCGCCTGTGAAACTCCCCTGTACGTATGGCTTTTCCATATATATAAGGGCGTGTGGTGGGTAGTCTAATCCAACTGGCTTGCCTTTAATTTTTCTTGCTTTCATCATAAGGTGTCTATGCTTTTCGGTGGCCTCTTTTCTTAACTTTTATCGATATAAAGTGACGAGGGAGGGAATGCAAAAGTTATTCCTCCAATCCCAAAACTTTAAAATGGAAAATCTCTTTGCTTTTCAAGATTTGTTTGGTGCGAGAAAATTTGAATGCCGTCTTTGAAAACACACAACTTATGGATAATGGCATACACCCAAATCTACTTGAAAATATCCTCCTCTCGTCGGAATTGTTGCTTAAGTTTCCAAAGAGAATATGGGTTTTTCGGGCCTTAGAATGTGTAATTAAAAAGTAAGAAAAGATTTTAAATTTGCGAATAAAATGATTTTATAGATCAAATGTATTGTTGAAAATAAATTTAAGAAAAAATGAGTTTTTAGATGAGACTTAAACATGGATTATACGTGTTGAAAATAAAATTCAAAAAAATGAATTTGGTATATCAAATAAGTTTGTGTGAGCATGTTAAAGTTTGATGCAGTCGGGAGAGTGAAAAAGAAGAAAATAAAATGAATTTCGTTGCTTTAAGCAGAATACCAAGATGGATTAGTAAAAATGGGAAAAACTCAACTTTTTTATTTTTTTTTATTGTGTGAGAGAGAGAGAGAGAGAGAGAGAGAGTGTGTATAACGGAAACTCCTCTGCTTCGTTCGCTCAAACCCTTTCTGTCTCTTTGGACTACGCAAAAGGCGTGGCTATGACTACTACAGGACTATATAGAAAGGCACGAGTGACAATTTTGCCCTTTCATTTCACATCATTTGCCATGTAGGTGTACTTACGAGGGGAGTAAATAGTTGGTATTCGAGGGGTATAACATTCAGGGTCCACGAGGAGAAATCTTTGCCGAAGAAGATCTTCGTCTAAAAATGTGAAAGGAAAATTGCAACAATTATCCCTAACCTATGGAGACAGTTGTAATGTCATCTTAAAACTTCTTGCAATATATTCCAAATGTAAGTTCTTTTTGTCAATTTCTGTGCCTTTTCAATTCTTTATCTAAAACAAGGCCAATGTTTCAAAATCTTTGCACGTGATTTTAAAACTACATGAATTTGTTGTTTTACATTGTCGTGACACATTATCTACCAATTTTGACAACTATCGCTAATCGTTGGTGATTTAGGTTGTCAATTATGCTTACCAACTACCACGGGTGACTCCTCCAATCCTGACGATCTTTCTTTGCCCCTACTTGGTCTTCTCCTTCATCCTCTCATTTGCCCATCCCCTTTCAAATACCAAATGTCAGTTCAGGATGTATGAGATAACATTTTTTTTTCTTCTTGTTGTGTATACCAAACTCAACAGTTTATAGTTAGGTGCATTGTAAATTCTTTTTGTCAACCTCTGTGCTTTTTCGATCCTTTATCTAAAATAAGACCAAGGTTTCAAACCTTTGCACGTGATTCTGAAACTACAACATGAGTGTGCTGTTTTTCATTATCGTTATATGCTACTTACCAATTTTGTCTTAGTGGTTGAGTGATAATTCTAACAACCATCACTAAGCATTGGTAATTTTGGTTGTCGATTATGCTTACCAACTATCATAAGTTGTGGCCAATTGCTCGACTCCTCCAATCCTCGATGCTCCTTACTTCGTCCATGCTTGGTCTTTTTCTCGACCCTCCCATTTGCTCATCCCGCTCCCAAACCTCCGAATGTCAGTTCAAGATGCATGGGGTAGCAATTCTTTTCTTTCTTTCTTCGATTTTTTTTATCATAATTGAAATAAGAATAATATAGTCTTTTCAGTTCAAGAATATGACTAAACTAGATTGTTACAAACTTGAAAAAGTTTACATATAAATACTACAAAGCAAAACTTGAGGCCCGTTTGTTCAAATTAAATATAAGCAAGCAGGAGTTATGGACACAGAATCGCTCAAGCTGTTCAAGATCAACTCTTTATCAGTTGAAACTTGAAAGAGATAAACCCATAGAAATTTTGAAAACAACGCAGAACCATCCAGTGAGAAATCAATGGCTGGTATTGCTGCTAACACTGGTCTGGCTGTATCCTGTTCGTTGAAATTCACTGGGATAAGGTCGTTATCTTCTCCTCTTTCTTCTACGGCCAGAAATGATTCCGGCCAAAAAAACTTCAACCGGAATTGCAGAGGAATCCAAATTCTACGAAGGCGAATTAGGCAACATAAATCTACAGCTTACTGTTGTTTAAGAGTCCCAATTTCATATGCTGCAATCCCGTCGAGTTCCGCTCGTGAAATTTTCCAAATTTCACCTTCAAATTCACATTCTGCAACGGAATTTATGAAAAACTTGGTGCTGATTGATTTAGATCCGGCTACAGCGAAACTGGCAATTGGGTTTTTGGGTCCTTTCCTATCTGCATTTGGGTTTCTGTTCATATTGAGAATAGTGATGTCCTGGTACCCAAAACTTCCAGTGGAAAAATTCCCATATGTGATTGCATATGCACCCACAGAGCCATTTCTTGTTCAAACTCGGAAGGTGATTCCTCCCCTTGGCGGTGTTGATGTTACTCCTGTGGTCTGGTTTGGATTCATTAGTTTCCTCAATGAAATTCTTGTCGGCCCACAGGGTTTGCTTGTTCTTCTATCTCAACAGGTTTAGTTGTGTTGTGTATACAAAATTGTGCAATGAAATTTGCTTGTGTGTTTCAGAATTTGTTATAGTGCAATGCATATACATTTTTGAGATAATGAAATCACGCCTCAACAATGAAGTATTAAGAATCAAAATTGAATTTGTTAAATATACCCACAATCCTATATGCTTCTTAATTTCTTATACAAAAAGGATGCTGACTAAATTTTTATGTTCGAAAATGATCAGAATTCTTCGCGTCTAAGAAGAATTCTAACGGGGTTTCCTTCTCTTCCATTACGATAAAGAGGGATACTAGTGAGAGAAAAGATCCGTCCTTGAATCTTGATGTGTTTTGCCAGATTATGTAGAGATTTGCTTCCCTGTCATTACAATTTGCTGCCGTTTTGTAACGCTTGATCGCCTCCTCGAGCATATGAAGTTGCTCAGTTTCATAACAATGAACCAAGGCAATTGTCACAGGGCTGTTCCGTGTTCCCTTCGATGAAGTCGACATTCCCCATCCTGAACCAGCCAATACACATTTTTACAATTCCAGGAACGAATACTCGTGAATTTTGACTACGTATAAAGCAGAAGATTGAAATACGTAAGCAACACAGAAACATAGATTTTACGGGACTGTCCCAACTTAATTTCTCAATCAAATCAAAGAAAAATGTGCAAAGACATGAAAGGGCCAACACAACACTTGTTGCCCCAATCAAACTCTTTCTCAAATCTACCTCTCTACGAAACTAAGTACACCACACTTAGAATTTATAAGGAAAACAGTAGTTCCCGGATTGCAGTTGGCAACCCCAACTGCTAGGGTCAGTTTTTCAGATTTTCAACCCCATTTGGCTGAAAACTGCCTCCAATTCAAACGCAAGACATAACTCTGCCAGTAACCCGTCACATGCCACCCTCAAGATAAGGTGGCTTATGGCTGTTTACACCTGATCCAATGGCACTCTTACTATGCTGTTTGGATCAGGGAGATCAGAATTTGGCTGGTAAGTTCAACATTGTTAAAAACATCAAGCATAATTGTTTCTTCTTGTTATATGAGCTGCTTAATGTACCTCCTTCTAGTAGGATGCCGTTGTCTACAAAAGAAAGAAGCAAAAGCTGTGAATTTTGATAATATTCTGAAACAGGTATTATTTTGATGTGATCCTACTTCCAGTTTCTTTGCATACTGTAATATCACAGTTTCCTTGCAATATTTTCCAGTTCCATCTCACAATATGATAATAGCCATGATTATGACCTGCCAAGTGGAAGAAATATAATTTGTTAGAGAAACGATGATAATTTAGCCATACTTTTTTGCAACCAAAGTGGCCCTTTTTTTTTCCAGATCCATCTCACAATATGATAATAGATTGGTTTGCTGCAGGTGACTTCTCCATTTTGTTTTTTGTTTTATGCAGGCAGTTAACTGAACTATCAGGCAATTTAAAGTCAAGTTCAAAGTTTTGTTAAGTGCAGTTGGTCTTTTCCGACATGCTAGTTACAATCGTATTAACTTGGCACTCAAGGACCTATAAAGAGCTCATACTAGGATGTCTTGGTAGAGCTCATAAAGCCCGAGATAAGAGAGCTGTCAAGCCAAACCACTAGAAGCGCAGCTAGAGTGGTTGATGCTCATGAGAAGTTGACCTAGTAAGGCACTTGACATCAGATTAAAGAGCTCAACCCAGCCTCACGACCAGGCAAAGACTCGCCCAGCCTGAGAAGAAAACATACATAGCACCAGAGTGACCGAACCTGTCTATACAAAGAACCAACTTGGCAGATCCAACACGATCCATGAAGACGTTAGCTATGCAACAATATATGACAATATTGTACTTCATAATCATAAGGAACGACTTATGTAATTAGAACAAACGGGGCAAAACTGCCTTTTCTGGATTGAACAAATAAATAATATGCAAGGACAATATAGTGGTACTACAGTATGATTTCCTCTTGAACACTAACATTAAGAGTCTTGTTTGGAAGGACAATGCTGTTGATCACGACAACTTCATCTTCAACCGTCACAGATTCACCTGGTTAGAAAAATACATAAATAGATTAGTTACTGTGTAATGAAGAGACAACGAGGAGAAAATTTAGTAGATTTAGAAAAAAGCGCTGAAATAGTACCTAGAATTGTAACCCCAAGCTTTGCATTATAATCTCCTGCAGCCTGAAAAATGTTGAGAAAGCTTAGGAAACATATTGCATGAAACAGACTGAGAAAGGTTCAACACACTGGTGGTTACTAAACCTTTAACAAAGTTTCATATTGAATTTTGTTTCGAGTTGGTCGCTGAACTTAAAATTTGATACAAGTGCGTCTCTCTGCCAATGTTTGTTAGTTTGGTTAAAGGAAATTTGAAGTTACAGTTTGTCTAATTATGTTGAATCACTGATTTGAATCGTCGAAAGGCTCTCCTCCTCGTCATCTGACTTATTGAACAGTTACAAATTTATAGCAAGTGTTTGAAGATAATTGTTCACAAAGGAAAATAACTGTGCTAAGCCGTCGACTTACCTGGACTCGAGACCATCTTCCTACAGAAGACTTCCATCCGACAATTGCGTGAATTACAACTGCATTTTCCTTTATAAAAAAATAAAACATGGATGTTAACTTTCACATAATGTAATTATGTAATAATATCTAGTTATTCGGGTCATTAGTACCTTAATTTCAACATCATCAAGAATGATACAACTGACGAGCCTCACACCAGCTCCTATACGAGCATTGGCAGAAATTGAAACGTTGGGACCAATCTGGTAAACATTCATAGAAAACAAGTCAGCATTCTAGAAGAAGCAGAAAAAAATTCTACAAAAGCACTAAATCAGTTAAGAACTTTTTTTGAGGGAATCGAATTAGAGGTGAATGTAGACAACAAAAAAGAGTAAATTGTAAAACCCAGAGAGAGAGAGAGAGAGATGGCTGTCAGAATTAAGTCTAGCGAACCTCGTGAGAGAACATAATAATGACTTCATCGAGACACTGCCCAATTATTTTTCCTAGTACAGAATAAATTATGTGCAACATGAGGTGAACAATTACACTAGAAATAGTGTTGTTTGATAAGAATACTGGAAGAAGTGATGGCATCAGATTACCTTCGCAGTTGGATGAACCTTTGCAGATGGATGAATATATACATCGCCAGAAATGGTGGCGCTCTTTGTACCATCACCACTTGCCAAGAGGTCGGGTGAGGTGAATCGAAACTGAGCAAGATACAAGGCTGAACATTTCAAAGACATTCTGCAAAATATGAAGTACACAGTCAGATGAAATTTCACGAGGCACTTGGGATATTAGAGAAGGAGCATTCACGACATTTTTGGCTCACCCGGGAGTTTTTAATTGTTCCCAGAAATCTATGGTTTCATATACATATAACTGCTTCTTCCCTGCAAGTGGGGATAGAATATCTTGATCCAGTCGTACGAAATCTGATGGAGGACTCCTGGCAATGAACTTGTATCAGCAGTAGAAATAGATGAAACTCGAAAAGTATATCCAAACAAAATCTGTGAGATTTTAATAGATCGTCCTAAAACGAATGTGAGGCCATCAACCCTGATATTTCTCCCAATTCTAACTAGGCAGTCGCATAGTTGAAAATTTACTTGTTTGGTGGCTGAAGAGCTTCAAAACTAGACAAACGCCTTAGGGTGGCTGCAATTAATAACAACAACAATCCATATAAGCACAATGAGAAGTCTTCTAGACATATCGCGTCATTGACCTAAGATCAATGCAAAACTTCTAGTCCATGTTTGGTACATAGAACTAGGCAGAACTATGCCTTACCATGGACGAGATTTAAACTATCCAAGCAGGAACAAAATCATCGACAATTTTAATAGAGCAACAAAGGATATAACTAACCTCTGTCTTTTCTTTGTGTGGATACACCTTGAATGGCAGTAAAGATATCTGGAGTAAATATGTATACGCCACAATTTATACGGTCGCTCACCTGTTTTTACAGCGAGAGAGGGGGGGGGGGGTAGGGGGGGGATGAGCAAGCATCAATCCATATCCGAGCCATCATAAAGCAATAACAAAATCAAATATTGCTGAATCTCAGAATTCACACTTACAAAAGTTTCAGGCTTCTCCGTGTAGTGTAGAAGTTCATTAGTAACGGAGTCAGCTACTAGTTCCCCGAACTGGTTTGCTGACTCGGGGGATACCTGCATTTGAAGGGTAATATGGAAGTCAAACCTACATACGTAGAGGAAAATGATGATTGACTTGAAGTGCACCTGGGGATAAAAATATAGCTACCAACCTTGATAACCAAAATTGTTCCCATACCTCCATATCTTCTGTGAGCCTCTGCAAAACGAAGACATCAACCAGAAAGTTAATCTTCTGAAAGTATCAGAAAAGTTACAAGAGACATAGATCATTGAATCTCAGGTTATTAGTTGGGAGGACTGTACTATGCGAGACAATAATAGAGAAGGAAAAAAAAGCTAAAATCACGCCTATTATACTATCGATTCCAGTTCAATATTGTATACCAAACATGTCTTATATGTTGAAGAAAGGTATGTGGGAAACAAATAGACAATTACCTAACATCTCAGGCAGTGGAAAACTGCAACAAACATCACAATTCAGCAAAACAATGTGTGACTGCCAGGTAAAACATAGAAGCGGGCTAAAACGAATGACAAAAAAGATTAAAGAATGAATCTTTGATTTACGTTTTTATTCAATACGATTATGGTTAGTTTGTTCGATCTTAACAAAACAATGATAATGTGAGAATCGTAAAAAATATAGAAACCGGATTGTCCTCCATGATCAAATCCCTGAAGCTATACAGTCCACCAGCTGATCCGTGTGGCTTGTCCTCTCTCAAGTATCTAAAACATGAAAGATCGGTAAATAAGTGCCAATATTCCACAGGTTTAAGTATGAGCTTGTGAAGGGAAAAAACATCCAAATGCATCAAAATTACCTGACAGGAACTCTAAGCTCGTTGGAAATTGAAGACACGTATAGTGCAAATTCACGCTCCTCATAGAAACCAACAAGGTATATCTGTACTAGATTTGGGATCTAATGAGAGAAAAACAAGGCAGACAAGTTACTCAGCTGTACAAAATTCCTAAAATTTAATAAACAAATCCCCTACAGTATAATATAAACTCAAAATTTCTTCATTTGTAATAAGTGAAATTTCAACTTTTAATACCATCTGATTTAAACTTATACAACAATACTCCAAACCTTGTTGTCCTAAATAAATTTGGAGTCGGCTATAAAATATAGACATGCCAGTGAACCAAAATTATTCGATTTTTTGCTACAATTGATATAAATCCAATAAAATTTCATACCCTTTTACAAGCAGAGATTGGATGATGAACCATGGGCTGTCCTGCTAGTGGAAAAAGTGGCTTTGGAATATTCAATGACAATGGCCTAAATCTAGTACCTGCACCTCAAAAATCTCAATTTAACCAAAATATCTTAAATTTTCCTACAGAAATGGCAACATCAAGAAAAGGGTAATCGTATTCTTATTCAATCCAAAAAATCCATGCATTTAATTAAAACTAAAATACAGTAATTACAACCGATTTAATAGAAGAACTCACTATTCCCTCTAAAAGTAATCAAATTCTAATCAATACCAGACTGCAATCATATTTGGTAAAATTAATTACTTAAAGATGAAAGAAAAAATTATAATAAAAACAAAAATCATACCTTTTGTGGGTCCACCCACCATGATCACAGCAACAACTCTTTCTTCTGAACTTCCCATTTTCTCTACCAAAACAAAGCAATACCCAGATCTCAAAATCCTCTGTGCAGCTTTCTAATAATTGACCACAGCTCCAAATTCTACAGTATTTGCGTCTTCTTCAACACCATAAACACAGCATGCACATGCACAATATATATATATATATATAATATATATTATGCCTTTTGTGTCGGTGTGTATAATATTATAAAGATGGAGATGGATTGATCATAGATAGGTACACACACAGAGAGAGTAATATTATAAAGATAGAGATGGATTGATTATAGGGGAGAGAGAGAGAGAGGTGATTTATCAAAATAAAAAGGATGTTCTACTTGTACAAAATATGTTGACAATGAAATGAATGGTCTAGATTTTGTCAACACATATTTTGTAAATCAATTTTGTAGACTTATTTTGTACAAGTAACATGACTGTTAGTGGGGTTAACCTACATTAAGCTCATGTTTTGTCCGAATTAAAATCAGATTTTAATTCAAGTTGAAGTCAAATAATTAATATTAACCACATTTTTCATGGGTCCCACAACTTTTCAACCACACATTTCAAAAACTTCTATCATAATCTACTAAAAATCTAATTTTAATTATCACCAAACACCATTTAAGTCTATAGAGTTAAATCAATGTTCTCCCCCATGAAAGTCTATCAAGTGACTTATAAGTCAACTTATTGTGATTTTTTTTTTATATGTTTATCCTTTTCATAAAAGAAAATAAACTTTTGATGGTAGGATAGGATTGTATTCTATCTATGCATTAGGAGGGATAACTCTACAAAGACAATATTATTGTAGATGATAAGTTATTGGTGAATGACAATTGTACATTTACGATCCTAAAAATTATTACCATATGTATCCATATTCATTTCCTATAAATATAGGGATTTGGTTCTCATTGTAATACACACAAGTCTATTGACTTTTATTCTTTCTTCTTTTTTTATAATACGTTATCAGCACGATGCCTTAATTTTTCAAAGTTTATTGAATGTAGTAATTTTTTTTATGCATAATTATCTATCACGTATAACGAAATCAATTTGCTGACATGTGAATTTTTTATATAAATACATATTATACTAGTGACAGATTTTTCTTNTATACTAGTGAAAAATTTTTCTTGTATACAAAGTGAATGATTTTTTAATATACGGTGGAATGATTTCTTCATAATTGTATAGTTGCAACTTTTGACTTTCCAATGCCATTGTACCTAGCTTCTTGTTTCCTCCTACTCACTCAAAAAAATTTTTTTTTATACTCAGATATTCCAACTTACGCTAAATTATGTCTTGGACCACCTATTCCCGACCCCTCAGCGATGGGTGGAAGTTAATCACGGTATATGCCCAAGTTGACTAGGGTCCGTACACCCTTTATACTCCTGACCCCAAGGGAGCCTTCCTTCATAGATATTACATCACCAAACTGCTCCACCCACAATTGAGTATTACATCACTCAGCTGCACCATCCAGGATTCGAACTCCCCACACTGAGGTTACAAATCCAGTAATGTTCTTCCTTTGCCAACTTGGATGTGCCCGGGAGCCCTACTCAATCAATTTTTTATTATATATACACGTGTACCATCTTTGTACCAACTTTTTGTTTTTACCATAATTTTGTGTATTGGTTTCGCTGCTATTGCTTCATTGGTACGTCAATGATTTTAGTAATTGATGGCTACAGGTCTTCTTTTTCCACTTTAGCAAATTACCATTGCCTCATTTATTACGTGTAATATAATGTTAAATAATTCTTTATAATTCACTCTTTGTTCCTGAAATACTTTTGAAATTTCTTCAAGATATTCCAATTTATAATTATGACGTGAAATTTTTCTAAAATATTCCGATTTATAATTATGTCGCAAATTACCACTGCCTTAATACATGGTTGGAGATTTTAATGCCTTTAATAACGTATTAATGAATGATTTGAAATTTTAATCATGCCTTGTGTGTATATAAATTTTTTTCCTAATACATGTATGGTAATTAATGTTTTTTATTTAATTTGATTAAATATTTTTAGATATTCTCTTATAAAATTTAAATTAATAATTTATCATATTGGTGCTCCTGAAGTAGCACAACATTATAATTAATATTCCAAAAAAAAAGGTATGAATTATAATTTTCAATATTCAAGAATATTAATATATTGCTCTTGAAAAAACAACAATAAAATACAATATGCTCCCAAAGTGGTACATGTTTCGAAAAACATATTATTTTAAATTAGTGTTTATCCCTGAAAGGAAAACATGTAACTTATGTCATTTGATATTAACTACTTGATTAATTATTGTGTGATATTTAATCATATTCTTCGAGATTAATTGTATTTTATTTTATATTGAAGTTACTCAAATAATAAATATTACAAAATTCGAGATGAACTGTTAAGAAATTTGTTTAGTTGAGTGCAAATATGCGCACTATTTTTCAAAATAAAAGTTTTTTTTGGACTAAACATTAGTAGAAAATAATGTTAATACGATATCAGATACATCGAATATTATTAAAGGCTCCGGAAGAGCTTGTATTATTTTACCGAGTAATACAAAATTATATATTGAAGATGCACTTTATTCTAACAAATTTAGAAGAAATTTGCTTAGTTTTAAAGATATTTGCTGCAATGGATATGACATTAAGACGATACAAGAAAATAATATTAAATATCTTTGCATAACTTCTTTTATATCTGGTCGAAGCACTTAAAAGAAAATCTCCATGCACTCCCGTCGGCATGTATTATACATTTATAAAAATGGTTGAATCAAATATTATCACAAATCAGAAGTTCGTTGATCCAAAAAATTTTATATTTTGGCATGATCGACTTGGACATCCAGGAGCTATAATGATGCGTCGAATAATAAATAACTTACATGGACATCTTTTAAAAGATCAGAAGATATATGTGGGCAAATACACCCACCATGTGGACATTTCGTTATTTTATGGTATTAATTGATT